AAGATCCATCTAACATCAGCAACAATATCCCTAGTACCACAACCCCTTCTAAACCCAGCCTGGACTTCTTGTTTAAAACCATATTCGTGTAAATTCTAACTTTAGTCTATTTAAAACAAGCTAGCAAACAAAGAACAAATGAATCTAAGATACAGTGAACAGTGTTAGGTAAATGATTATCTACAGGATGAACTGTGAGCTGCCCCTTACAGTTCACCCCTTGATCATTGTTACAGCCTCAAAGAAGCTCCATCCTCACCTTATCTCACACTGGTCATCCCTCCAAGCCTTTTCCCTCCTTGTTCTTTCTGCCTGAATATCCTTTCCTCGACACTTCATCCACCTAGACCAATCCACCAATCTAAGACCTAAGTCACTGCTAGTGTTTACTGTGGTTGTAGTTTTGCCCATTAACTTGAAGATTCCCTTTGTACCAGGAAAACAACTGCTGTTTTCTTTCAGAACACATCTTATGGCTTACAGACAGGAGGTCTTTCTCTGTGACTCTCTGAAAAGGTTCTATGAGACCACGAAGTCTTTCATATCTATGCCTCCAACACAAGGCACAGGTACTCCGGAAGGATAAGATTAACGGACCTGACTCTATCGGGGGTGTGGGCACATGAGACACAAACACATCTGCAGATAGCAAAAGCCTAGAGACCCAGGAGTGGAGAGGAATTCCAATGGGAGAGTGATCTCAGGGAGGGGCAGGCCCTTGAGATCAGCCCCATAATACAGGCCCAGGAGTTCCATCAAGAGAGAAGATGGGAAAGCATTATGAGTTGAATTGTTGTTGTTTTAGTTATGTGCTATTGAGTCGAGCATAACTCATTGTTGGTGTTGTTAAGTGCCGTCGATCCTATGAACAAAAGACCTGAACACTTGCACAACTTTCAGTATTTCTCCAGGTTCACAGGGATTCCAGAGGCAATCTATTTCAGAAGTGGATGCTTCCAAGCTTGTTTTAATCAGGGAGCTCCACCAAACACTGTTCACCGAGGGTAACCATTATCACATTTGACAAATCAGTGTCACAGAGTTCAGCATCACAACAACCATGAGTTACCTCTGTACAGCAAATGGACAGGCAGGTGCTATATGACCTAGAAGAAATCATAACTCATAGCAACCCTATATCCACTCTCTCTGAACTCTGCTCTATCTTGAGCCAATTTAATCCTCTCCAACACACCTACCTCCATTACCCCAATCAATGAGTCAATCTATCTCATCCAGAGTCTTTTTCTCTTGTCTCTTTCTAAGCATCATGTCTTTCTCCAAGAACTGATCCCTCCTGGCACCATACTCAAAGTATGTCAGATGGAGCTTCTAACTATTTGCCTCCGAGGAGCAGCCTGGTTTTACCCTCTCTAGGACAGACCTGTTTGTTCTCTTAGCAGTCCATGGAATGTTCAATTATGTTTCCCTAAAATGTATGTTGGTCTTATAACCCTCTAAACGTGTGGATGTAATACCATTTGAGCATAAGGATTACTTTGTTATGTTAATGAGGCCATATCAGTATAAGATATGTCAAGATATTAACTGTTGAGATATGACTGAGCATATTATGCACAAAAGAAAGACTCAACAGACAGACCAACACTCCCTGCAGATGAATGAAACAGACCAGACTACAATTCTAGGAACTCCAAGAATTACCATCTAGAGAAGATGAGACAATGTTCTTCTCCCAGAGCAGACAGAGAGAGAGAGCCTTCCGCAGAACTGGTGCCCTGAACTCAAATTTGAAGACTCTCCAATGGTGAGAAAATGCAGTTCTGTTTGTTAAAGACAACCACCGGTGGTATTTCTGCTGCAGCAACAGTAAGAAACGAAGGAGCCCTAGTGACACACACAGCGGAGGTCTTGCGCAAAAGGTGGGTAGCTCAAATCTACCTGGTGGTTTCACAGAAGAAAGAAAGGCCTGATGATCTACCTTCACAAGTATCATACTTTAGAAAATCATATGAGATACTTGGCGTCTTCAGGACGGGTTCACTTTAGGTTAGAACTGATGCACTGGAACCCAACAACAAGAAAAGTAAGACAGGGAGAATCCTGGCATTGAAGATTCTTCAGGAGCAGGGTTTGTATGGGGCCTGATTCGGAGACCTGTGAGGCTTAGATTTCCAACTTGAACTTGATTGGAATCCTCTGCCATTGTTATAAAGCCAATTCCCAAGTCCCACCTCAAAGAATCAGTAAATCTGAGATGAGGTCTTGAGTTTGCAACCAAAACAAAAGCAAACCCACTGCCATTGAGTTGATTCCTACAGAGCAGAGCAGAACTACCCCATGGGGTTTCCAAGGCATAAATCTTTACAGAAACAGACTGCCACACATTTCTTCTGCCTTTAACTTGCACTTGACAACAAATATTTCAGGTCAGGCAGGCATTTTGAGGGCTGCCTTCTGAGAAGCATTGGGCAGATGGAGTAGGGAGACAGGTGGGGTCTGTAGAGACTTGTAGAAATGCACATAAACTTAAAGAAGCCCCAGCACACTGCATCACTGACTAGATACCAAGACACTGTGAGTGCAGCCTTCCAGAGAACACAACCAGTCAAGGTCATTTACAATGTGCCCCGAATAATTCAGTGGTAGTGTGCTTAATGAGGTAGACACAGACTCGATCACAGGCATTCTCCAGGCCAAGAGGCAAACAATCAATCTCCAATACAGAGATCCCATTTAGAAACTGTATCGACCAACTAGGCTAAGCAGGGGATTTAAGCGAGTCTGGGTCAGGGCTGAGGCCACTTCTGGCGAAAGAAACCCTTCTTTGATGGAATAACCAGGCAGTCACACTGTACAGGGATGAACTTGTCCAAGGCAAAAACGTCAAAGGCATGTTCTAAACAGAAATAGCTGTGAAGAAGGTATCTGTGTGACAACTCCCTGAGCGTCGACTTCAGTTGTATACAAATCATGATTTCAAGTCGAAATGTAGACGCGTGAGGGCAGATGGGGTATTTCAAGCCAGTGCCCAGGGCCTGCCCCCCCTTGAAGAGGAAGAATCCAGGCCGAGCCACTCATCAGATGGAGAATGACTTTTATCTGATTAACCAGTGGAGAAGCAGCCTTCCCCTCTCCCCGGAACATTCTGGGGAAAGGCGTTTTGCAGACTGCAGGAAAAAGTTGGGCCTTGGCTTCCCTCCTGCTTGGCCAGTGGAAAATTACAAAGGAAAGCAGGGCTGCCCTCAGCCCTGCAAAACACACAGAGACACCTGAAAACAGAGTCTTTACTTACGTGGGGCTGAGAGGAGTCTGGGAGGCGGTGGGGGCGGGGGCGGCGGGGGCAGAGGGGGGGGGGGCCGGCACTGGCAGATGTGGTGGCAGCTGTCGGTCACCTTGGAGCAGGACTTCTGAGGCTCACCATCAGTCACCTGTGGACGTGGGCACACGTGCCCAAGAGACATAGAAGGCAATAAAGACAGTGGGAGTGGAAATAGGCCCATCCACACCCTGGCCAGCCCATGACTCCACCTTCCTGCCCCAAGACCAAGGTAAGGAGAAGGGGCAGGAAGCTGGAGCTGTTGATGCCAGGAGGCAGGTGTGGTGGAGGCCTGGAGACCAGGACTTCTTTCTAGCTCTGCCTGGAAGCCACGATGGTGTCCTGGGCAAATCCCTTGGCTCTTATAAGCAGTACACAAGACCTTGGACTTTAACCTATAGAATCTCCCCACTGTACAAGTGAGCAAAATGAAGTCCAGCCTGGTGAAGTCTGTCCAGTGTCCTCACACCCAGGTAGTGACAAGACAGTGACGTCACCTCCCCAGGGACCTGGGCCCACCAGTTCTCCCCTGGCTTCTTCACTATGCTAACCACCATCTTCTTCACCTCTTGCTACGGTGGGGATGGCCTCCCTGAACCGACCTAGGGGACATTACCGTGTACCCACCATGCTGGAGAAGGAACCTTACCAGCAAAGCTTCTGCTTTGTCCTCTCTACAGCCAAGGGGGTCAAAGCAACTGCTCAATGGACAGTGTTCTCCACACTCAAACTACCTGAACCCCACAGTCGGAATGCCATCCCAGCACCCACGGGATCTCCAGGCCCACAAGGACCTGCGGCTCCAGACATTGTCTCCAGCACCACCTCTTGCCAGGCTCCCATCCTCTGTCCAGCCTTCACTAGCCTTCTTTTAATTTCTGGACTCTAGTCTAAGCCCCTCCCACTACATGGACTTCATGAATGCTGGTTGCACAACCTCATTCATTATCCTTCATTGGACAGAGTTGTTGTTCTTGTTGTTTGTTGTTGTTATTGTTATGTGCCATTGAGACGTTTGCGACTGACTCATAGTGACCCTATGTACAAGAGCCCTAAATGCCGTTCTATTCTGTGCCAACCTCACTGTCTCAAACACATTCATTCCCACCACTCCACTCACAGAATCGACCCATCTCATTGAAGGTCTTCCTCTCCTTTACCGCCCCTCCACTCTGCCAAACATGATGTCCCTCTCCAAGGACCAGTCCCTCCTTGCAACATGTGCAAAGTATAACAGACAAAGCTTCAGAATCCTTGACTCGAAGGAGCATTCTGGCTTCACCCTCTCCAGGACAAACCTATTTGTTCTCCTAGCAGTCCATGGTATATTCAACACTCTTCTCCAGCATCAATTCAATTGCTCAAAGGCATCAAATCTCTTTCTATCATCCTGTCCAACTGTCTGATGCATAGCACGTAATTG